ACTGTTTTCGAGAAAATCAAACGCCTCTCCCCTCCATACATGCCAGAAATGCAATGCAGCGCGTGTTTCGTAACACCTTATCTCAGACATTGTTGCGTGAAACGTGCACGGCACGTGGACATTCCAAGCCACATAATGCCGTGCACATCGCAGTCTAATTATGCAAGGTGAATACCCTAGGAATGAAATGGCTTAGGGAACAACTGTTTTCGAGAAAATCGAACGCCTCTCCCCTCCGTACATGCCAGAAATGCAATACAGCGCGTGTTTCGTAACACCTTATCTCAGACATCGTTGCGTGAAACGTGCACGGCACGTGGACATTCCAAGCCACATAATGCCGTGCACATCGCAGTCTAATTATGCAAGGTGAATACCCTAGGAATGAAATGGCTTAGAGAACAACTGTTTTCGAGAACATCGAACGCCTCTCCCCTCCATACATGCCAGAAATGCAATACAGCGCTTGTTTCGTAACGCCTCATCTCAGACATCGTTGCGTGAAACGTGCACTGCACGTGGTCATTCCAAGCCACATAATGCCGTGCACATCGCAGTCTAATTATGCAAGGTGAATTCCCTAGAAATGAAATGGCTTAGAGAACAACTGTTTTCGAGAAAATCGAACGCCTCTCCCCTCCATACATGCCAGAAATGCAATACAGCGCTTGTTTCGTAACACCTCATCTCAGACATCGTTGCGTGAAACGTGCACTGCACGTGGACATTCCAAGCCACATAATGCCGTGCACATCGCAGTCTAATTATGCAAGGTGAATTCCCTAGAAATGAAATGGCTTAGAGAACAACTGTTTTCGAGAAAATCCAACGCCTCTCCCCTCCATACATGCCAGAAATGCAACACAGCGCGTGTTTCGTAACACATTATCTCAGACATTGTTGCGTGAAACGTGCACGGCACGTCGACATTCCAAGCCACATAATGCCTTGCACATCGCAGTCTAATTATGCAAGGTGAATTCCCTAGAAATGAAATGGCTTAGAGAACAACTGTTTTCGAGAAAATCGAACGCCTCTCCCCTCCATATATGCCAGAAATGTAATACAGCGCGTGTTTCGTAACACCTTATCTCAGACATTGTTGCGTGAAACGTGCACGGCACGTCGACATTCCAAGCCACATAATGCCGTGCACATCGCAGTCTAATTATGGAAGGTGAATTCCCTAGGAATGAAATGGCTTAGAGAACAACTGTTTTCGAGAACATCGAATGCCTCTCCACTCCATACATGCCAGAAATGCAATACGGCGCGTGTTTCGTAACACCTTATCTAAGACATTGTTGCGTGAAACGTGCACGGCACGTGGAGATTCCAAGCCACATAATGCCGTGCACATCACAGTCTAATTATGAAAGGTGAATACCCTAGGAATGAAATTGCCCAGAGAAAAACTGTTTTAGGGAAATTCGAACGCCATTCCCCTCCATGCATTGCAGAAATGCAATACAGCGCGTGTTTCGTAACACATTATCTCAGACATTGTTGCGTGAAACGTGCACGGCACGTGGACATTCCAAGCCACATAATGCCTTGCACATCGCAGTCTAATTATGCAAGGTGAATTCCCTAGAAATGAAATGGCTTAGACAACAACTGTTTTCGAGAAAATCGAACGCCTCTCCCCTCCATATATGCCAGAAATGTAATACAGCGCGTGTTTCGTAACACCTTATCTAAGACATTGTTGCGTGAAACGTGCACGGCACGTGGAGATTCCAAGCCACATAATGCCGTGCACATCACAGTCTAATTATGAAAGGTGAATACCCTAGGAATGAAATTGCCCAGAGAAAAACTGTTTTAGGGAAATTCGAACGCCGTTCCCCTCCATGCATTGCAGAAATGCAATACAGCGCGTGTTTCGTAACACATTATCTCAGACATTGTTGCGTGAAACGTGCACGGCACGTGGACATTCCAAGCCACATAATGCCTTGCACATCGCAGTCTAATTATGCAAGGTGAATTCCCTAGAAATGAAATGGCTTAGAGAACAACTGTTTTCGAGAAAATCGAACGCCTCTCCCCTCCATATATGCCAGAAATGTAATACAGCGCGTGTTTCGTAACACCTTATCTCATTGTTGCGTGAAACGTGCACGGCACGTGGACATCCCAAGCCACATAATGCCGTGCACATCGCAGTCCAATTATGCAAGGTGAATTCCCTAGGAATGAAATGGCTTAGAGAACAACTGTTTTCGAGAACATCGAACGCCTCTCCCCTCCATACATGCCAGAAATGCAATACAGCGCGTGTTTCGTAACACCTTATCTAAGACATTGTTGCGTGAAACGTGCACGGCACGTGGAGATTCCAAGCCACATAATGCCGTGCACATCACAGTCTAATTATGAAAGGTGAATACCCTAGGAATGAAATTGCACAGAGAAAAACTGTTTTAGGGAAATTCGAACGCCGTTCCCCTCCATGCATTGCAGAAATGCAATACAGCGCGTGTTTCGTAACACATTATCTCAGACATTGTTGCGTGAAACGTGCACGGCACGTGGACATTCCAAGCCACATAATGCCTTGCACATCGCAGTCTAATTATGCAAGGTGAATTCCCTAGAAATGAAATGGCTTAGACAACAACTGTTTTCGAGAAAATCGAACGCCTCTCCCCTCCATATATGCCAGAAATGTAATACAGCGCGTGTTTCGTAACACCTTATCTAAGACATTGTTGCGTGAAACGTGCACGGCACGTGGAGATTCCAAGCCACATAATGCCGTGCACATCACAGTCTAATTATGAAAGGTGAATACCCTAGGAATGAAATTGCCCAGAGAAAAACTGTTTTAGGGAAATTCGAACGCCGTTCCCCTCCATGCATTGCAGAAATGCAATACAGCGCGTGTTTCGTAACACATTATCTCAGACATTGTTGCGTGAAACGTGCACGGCACGTGGACATTCCAAGCCACATAATGCCTTGCACATCGCAGTCTAATTATGCAAGGTGAATTCCCTAGAAATGAAATGGCTTAGAGAACAACTGTTTTCGAGAAAATCGAACGCCTCTCCCCTCCATATATGCCAGAAATGTAATACAGCGCGTGTTTCGTAACACCTTATCTCATTGTTGCGTGAAACGTGCACGGCACGTGGACATCCCAAGCCACATTATGCCGTCCACATCGCAGTCCAATTATGCAAGGTGAATTCCCTAGGAATGAAATGGCTTAGAGAACAACTGTTTTCGAGAACATCGAACGCCTCTCCCCTCCATACATGCCAGAAATGCAATACAGCGCGTGTTTCGTAACACCTTATCTAAGACATTGTTGCGTGAAACGTGCACGGCACGTGGAGATTCCAAGCCACATAATGCCGTGCACATCACAGTCTAATTATGAAAGGTGAATACCCTAGGAATCAAATTGCACAGAGAAAAACTGTTTTAGGGAAATTCGAACGCCGTTCCCCTCCATGCATTGCAGAAATGCAATACAGCGCGTGTTTCGTAACACATTATCTCAGACATTGTTGCGTGAAACGTGCACAGCACGTGGACATTCCAAGCCACATAATGCCTTGCACATCGCAGTCTAATTATGCAAGGTGAATTCCCTAGAAATGAAATGGCTTAGACAACAACTGTTTTCGAGAAAATCGAACGCCTCTCCCCTCCATATATGCCAGAAATGCAATACAGCGCGTGTTTCGTAACACCTTATCTAAGACATTGTTGCGTGAAACGTGCACGGCACGTGGAGATTCCAAGCCACATAATGCCGTGCACATCACAGTCTAATTATGAAAGGTGAATACCCTAGGAATGAAATTGCCCAGAGAAAAACTGTTTTAGGGAAATTCGAACGCCGTTCCCCTCCATGCATTGCAGAAATGCAATACAGCGCGTGTTTCGTAACACATTATCTCAGACATTGTTGCGTGAAACGTGCACGGCACGTGGACATTCCAAGCCACATAATGCCTTGCACATCGCAGTCTAATTATGCAAGGTGAATTCCCTAGAAATGAAATGGCTTAGAGAACAACTGTTTTCGAGAAAATCGAACGCCTCTCCCCTCCATATATGCCAGAAATGTAATACAGCGCGTGTTTCGTAACACCTTATCTCATTGTTGCGTGAAACGTGCACGGCACGTGGACATCCCAAGCCACATAATGCCGTGCACATCGCAGTCCAATTATGCAAGGCGAATTCCCTAGGAATGAAATGGCTTAGAGAACAACTGTTTTCGAGAACATCGAACGCCTCTCCCCTCCATACATGCCAGAAATGCAATACAGCGCGTGTTTCGTAACACCTTATCTCAGACATTGTTGCGTGAAACGTGCACGGCACGTGGACATCCCAAGCCACATAATGCAGTGCACATCGCAGTCTAATTATGAACGGTGAGTTTGCTGGAAATTGAATTCATCAAAAAAAGATTGGTTTCGGAAAACTCGAACGCCTTCCCCTCCATACATGCCAGAAATTTATTTCAGCGCGTATTTCTTATCACCTTATCTCAGACACTGTTGTGTGGTCAAACATAAATTTATAAATATTGAGGGCAACGAATAATTTTAAAGCTAGGACTTCGAGCCAAATTTTTATATTACTTTTTGATCTTTTTTTTTTTTCCTGTTTTTGGTGCGCCGAGGCCATGTTCCAAATTTCTAAAGTAGACACTGTGAAAGTTGAAATAACAATTGTCTTCATTTCTTTTCTTAAACCAGGAACGCTTATTTTTGAAACCATGTGTAAGGCAACGTCTAAGCTATGGAGAAACTAAAATATCATGGAAAATTTTAAATTAATTTTATTACTCAGTAACAGATGCCGTTCACATATTTCATCTTGATAGAGATTTAAATATATGCCCTGGTAAAAATATTTCAAGGATATAGCAGGGAACCCTTCTATCGCAATACAGGCCAGCTTGAAGAACTAAAAAGGAGATATACATTTTTATAATCGATAGACTCAGGTGAAGGGCACATGGCACATTTTATTTAATCCAGGCTCAAATAATAACCACTGCACCAATCATCCTCAATCACCTTTTGTTTATTCTTCATGTCGTCGCTCCATTTTCTGAGTTTTTCCATCGCATTTTCATCGCAGTTCTGTAAAGAAAGAAAATGCAACACTGGTTTTATAACAATAAAAATGCACACACCAGCGTTCAAACACATCGTCGTTTTTAGTTGTTTTTTTTCAATTGCACTCCATTTGTTGTATAATAAAATGCGTGATGAAAGATTCACCCCGAAACAGGCACTAAAATGTACTTTCTTTAGGTGAAATTTGGGTGCTTGGGAGGATATTTCGTTTAGTTACCCGAACGAAGAGGTAAACGTTTAGTCCCTTGAATATTTTATCACGGGTGCCGTGCCACTATTTCTGGGCTTTCACTAAATAACGCGCTGCATTATTCTATGGCGGTCGCAACTTACGATACATGGGTTACATTATGACTAGGATTCCGTGTTTTCGGAGTTTAGTTCTCGTGAAACTAGGAGGTTGTTTTTTAGACTTTATTTTTCGGAAAGGGTTCGGAGTTTATCGAAGTTTACTCTCGTTATATTCCCAGGTTGTTTTTTTTTTAATGATAGGTTTATTTTACTCGTAGAACTTAAAAATTCAAAAACAAAATAAATAATGACCGGGTACCATGACCCGTTGTCGCCAAGGAACCTGGACATGCTAAAAAGCTATCCCCTTTTTGTTAGTAGTTCCCAATTTCGAAGGCAACTGAAGTGAAATCTCTTCAGGACCGCAGACCTTGTGGTCTTATAAAGATTAGCGGTAAAATTACGTCTTTTTTATTGTTTCTTTTGTCACTGTGACCTTGAAATTTGGAGTTTTTGGAATAAATCCGAATGGTCGGGACATTTACCGGCGAATGTTTTTCGGATTTTTTTTTACTCATCCTAAAACGCGGAACCCTAGTTATATCTCGTAATGGCAGCTTCAACACAATCAGAGAAAAGAGTGGCGTTAACATTCTCAAGTTAAAGGCAGAATGGGCAGCCAGATGATCTCGAGCCGGTTATATGCCGCCCAACGTTCATCGCAGTCGTGCACTGGGGTTGGCAACCACATCGCACGTGCTAAACTGCAGACAGTGTTAGGGGTCGGCTGTTAGCGTCGCTGCAGCGACTTGGCTCTATTTACGACCCGAATACTTGTTCACGCATTGATTGTCACGAGGCCAAGCCGTTTGCTCCCGCAGTACCCGTGTGCAATCTATAGGAGCTGCATTTAATATATTTATTACAAGATAGTCCCGCGACTACGACAACGTTACGATACCCGCTACTCCGTTATTATGTTTGGCGAAGGGGAAGTTGGAAGAAGTTTACACGTATCATGGACTTTACACAGCGGCAAAGACGCTTCATGGTCAGTGGCGTTGCGAGCAGGTCTACTTAGGGTGACCACCTTCCTGCTAGCGAAATGCGGGACAGATGGGGCAGGCGGTAGAGGAAATTTATTAAAGCGCACACCACGAACCGAAGCCCTGTTCACACATTGAATAACCTGTGCTGTTTATACACCTGCTAATTGTATTGCAGCAATTCAGTTCGAACAATTTTCACTCCCAGTGATATATTGCTTTATGCCAAACATGGGGTTATTAAATGTGTCGAAGTTGAAAACCTAAAAATCGGCTGTGGCAGAACTCAATCCATCAAATGGAAATAAGAAACAGTAAATATTTTCAGGGTTATTGTTTCCTGGCAACCCTTACTTTTATCAACATGGTCCTAGGCAAATTTTTTTAACATTATGTTCTTTTTCGACCGTTGTGAGTTGCAGGCCTTTAGCCTTGTGTGGCTGTGTTCATTAAACATAAAATTCACAGCAACCCTTTCGCATTGATACGATTTGAAAATAATTACGATATTTTATATTTAAACTTTTGGCGAGCAATTTTTGTTATACAATAATTGGCCACGAAGGGGGGAGGCACAACAGAGCATGCGCATCGGATCTCCTGCAAAAACGACGGTCGCTTCCCGCAATGCTTGGATAGAAAATGGCGTACCATCGCGGTTCACACGATTACCAGCGACCTCCGCGATGGCCCGTGCCCCGTTGCTCGGCAGCACCCTTTATTCATATACCCTTAAAGGTCCTCGTGAGAAAAATCCTTAGGGGGGGGGGGGGGGGGGGGGCTTGCATTGTTAAGTTTCATGTAATAATACACAAACAAGGTAAAATAAATATACACACATTAACGCGAGTTGCGGAGTGAATTTTACCACTTGAATACCGGACATTTAGAAGATTTTTTAATTTCTCGCGGGACGCGGGACACGAGCCCTCAATGCGGGACTGTCCCGCGAGTCGCGGGACGGGTGGTCACCCTAGGTATACTAGGATAGCACAAGGGCCAGTATGTTTGTGTAAAAAGAAAAACGTCCCAACATAATATCGTTCATTTGGAGGTCAGCGCGTTGGTTTAGCGTAAGGTCTTGAGAAAGAATGAAAACCTTAAGAGAACACGAACAGCACATTCCTAAAAAAAATTTGCTTGATGTATTCTGTCCTTGTATAGTTTTTTCCTTATTGTTCCAAGTTATTTTAGATATCAATATTAGTGCGTACTTGCTAGTGTGGCTAGTGTTGCTACCACTGCTAATGCCCTTGCTTTTATTTCTGCTTCTATTCTTGATAAATATGCAATTCCCTTTACTACTCATATTATTATGTAATGAAATTAAACGAAGACACTTGACACTCCTGGCGTGTAGGAATACGAAAGCATTCTTCCACGCAGCGCATTCCTACAAGCAGCGCGCCACGTCTTCCTTTTTCACACGGCGCTCCGGCAGTGACGTCACGCTCCTCACTGCGCAGGCGCGGCACCCCCGCCGGCTCCACGGCTTTCGTGACGACGCATCTGCTTTGCTGTGCTCTTCTTTGTGTTTTTGTTGTGGTTTTTTTCTGAGGCGCGTCCGTTTTGCAGTTAATGGGACTTTATGTACCATTTCGGTCAGCCGATGGGTGCTTAGGTTTCGTTTCGCTCAACCAATGAGTATTTAGGTGTCGTTTTTCGCAGCTAGAGACGTGAGATATCGCCGGCTTCGTTACATGGGGCAGTTTCTGCTTTCGCAATTATATTTTGATATCCTAATAATTCTTGCAGCAAAGCAACTGGGATGACCGGTCGTAATTATTAAGCAGAAATTTGGCTCATCACCAGTCTGAGAGACGGACGGTATTGCACGTGGCCATTGCCTCCGCACCCATGTCCACCAGTAATCGGTAAGATGGTTGTTTACCTAAACGCAACACTAGGACTCTGCAGGAATTTTGGCTGGATCGTTAGTTTTCTGATCTTTCCAGCCTCTTTAGTAGTCGACGTGATAATGTGGAGTTGGGTAGAATATAAGAGGCGTTTTGGATTTCATAAAACAAATGTCAAATATGTTGTGCAGTTGTTGCACGTTAAAACTATTTCGTGCTATATGTGGCTTCAGTGCACTGAATTTCGGAAAATACCTGATTATATGAATATATCTATAACAAAGGTGACTGACTACGTATTTCCCAGGGGATTCGATGAAATGGCGCATGGTGTTGCAAATGTAAAAAATGGTTCGCGAACTGGCTCTGCAGATAGTAAACAGAAAGCCAATAAGCTAATAGCAGAATTATGGCCGGCTTTTTGTAAAGCAAAACTCAATGATAAATAACATCTTCAAAAATCTATAAAAGAGGGCAACTGTCATTAATATTCGCAAAAAAGAAAAAAAAGAGTGCGAAGGCAGCGAGAACATTTTCTCGTGACTTACCTTAAAGCGACCGTTGGGGCAAACTGACTCTGGCAACCGCACCTCCCGGCCATTGCATCCGACCTTGCAGTTTGCAAGAGTCCAAGAAATATTCCACCACTGCTCTTGCTCGCCCTATAATGTCACAAATCCGAATTAAAATAAAGCTCTGCCCAATGAAAAGGAAACAAACAAAACAAAACAATTTAAAAGGTGATTATAAAGACCTGCCCTCAAGCAGGGAAAAGGAACCCGACCCTCACTTTCCTTCTCGGCAACCCTCCCATAACATAAAGGGATTGAATCACCTCTGTTTTCTCCTCAACATTTTTTTAACTTTTTTTTTTTTTGACCGCCCGCCTTATATTTTTGTGGAAGTCTAGTGTGGGTACAATGAAAGTTTAAAATGAAATCCAAATAAATTAAAAATTGACTATTCCTCTTTTTTTTTTTTTTTTTTGCCGTGCCTTTCATTTTTAAGACGCAAACGTTATCTCTTCAGTCAGTGGGAACCTCACAAATAAAGACAAGGTTAATCACGGTTAAACCCGGTCCGAAGGCGTGCCCGATTTACGAGAAGCTCGTCAGGTTTTCTAGTCGTCCGCGACACAGGAGCACGGAGTCCTGCGAAGAGAGGGAGCTCCTCAAGGACAGCAGGTTGAGGGCGGACGGAGATTCCCCAAATGGAATTAAGTCCCTCAGCTTCACGTTCAGTAATCTGCCTGCGCACCTAAATTAGGGCTGTAAAAAAAAATAAAAAACTGAAGCGGTGTGTATATCAGTAAATACATTTTTATTTGGCCGCCAGAATCAAGAATATTCAGTTCTTTTTTTTTTTAATTTGATGCACGGAGGCTGCACAAAATAGTTTCAAAGTACCGCTGGTACTCTGAAATGACGTAACGCATGACGTAACACTCCTTCCCGGAGCGTTACGTCATACAAGGAGTTTTCGGAATCTCCGCTCTCGCACATCTTCAGCGCCTATCAAAGCTATGCACGCACACTCTCGTTATTTTCAGAAAGGTCGAAAAAAGACGTCCCGACTGGTGTCAGTGTGGGGGAATATAAATGGCAAGCTTGAAATTGCACGCGTTGCCTACACGAGCGATGAACCCTTGGAAGCCCAAAGATCATTTATGACGTAACGACTAGTCGGAGGTTTTTCGTGTTTTCTCGTGTTTAATAACATCTTCGGGGAAAACGAGCTATTCAAATTCACGGGATAAAAATACTATAGAATTCACCGCTAACTCGTTTTTTTCGAGAACATTTTCAGCTTCCCTTTAATGAGTTCGCATTACTACCCAGGTACATGGGCTGACCTTGGACAGGTTTGCACTCGCCAAAGTTGGCAACGTCGCCACGGGATGGCGCCACAGCCGCACTGACTGTGGAGGCTCGCTAGGAAACACCTCCTGCAAGCGCCGACAGATGGCGGGCGCGGTGCGGGTGCGCGACGCGCGCCTTGGACGCCCTCGGAGGCTCTTGCCGTCGGCTTTGGAGACGTGTGGACACACACGGGCTGCGTTGCGGTGCCTCGACCGCGCACGGACACTAACAAAGTCACGTCGCGCAACGCCACCACTGTAGATTTGATCTTTACTCGCTATGTTCATATCATTCAAACGGCGCTATATGTGGCGGACTTCACACTGCACAGGCCGCTCATGTGCACATCTATCCACCGCAGGACTAAACACGCGTTCCCTGTGAATAAATACGCACAACAAATTGCCTCTGTCCTCTCATGCCCACCGCGCGCACATCCTTCATGCACACGGTATGAGAACTGATCTATCTTGCGCCAGGGAGAAATGCGGTTTTCGGGAATGTTCAATCCGCTGAAAACGCCTGAGGGGTTGGATTCACCATGTTTTTTTTTATATTTTACCGGTGCGCCAAATGGCTCACGCATCTGTTCGAGAATCCGCAAACGGCAGCAGAAACGTCGGGCCATTTTTCTCCTCAATCCTCTGTTGTCGACGGCCTCCACTCGGGAATGCTCAAGGTGGCAATTAGAAACGCATTTTTTTTTTAATCCGTTGTTGAGGTTGATTTATGAAGGCTGTCAATCCTCTCAAAGCGGCAGCCTTTCACAATTTTCCAGCCGCGCGTCGTGCCACGATGTCAACTTGCCCACGGAAAGGCCTGGGAGTGTCGTTCTATGGTTCCGCAGCCAACGTGACAAATGCCGAACTGCAGTAACGATCGCATGGCTTCCTCGTTTCTGATGTAATGTTGGTCGTAAAAAGAAATGATGTGTATGTTGGTGCAACCCCTCTCAAGGCCCACTTAGTGCAGCAAGTATGATTGTGAAGAAGCAGGAAACTGGCTGATATCGGAGAATACAAAACAATGTCTTCCTCTGCTATGCCTTTCCCAGTGCAAAACTAATCTTTGAGTATATTTCGAATGTACGAAGCTGCACACTATCATTCACAACAGAAAATGCATATTGCAGCGTTTATTACGGCAAAAAGAACATAAAATAAAATTGAGTTGTTGCCATTTTGTCGTTAAATGCCTGGAAATTAACGCAAACGATTGATCGATTAATTTGTATATTAATGGGTGGCAAATAATGGGATTAAATGTTTTATCTATGCAAAGCCCCATTGATAAGTGTCGAAAGGTCGCCGCCTTGTCACATGGTGCCGTCTAAACCAAAGAGACTTCAAAGTGGCGGATAACACTTTCCATTAAAGAAAGATCACAGAACTTGAGATAATCTAAGGTGTGGCTTGTGTACACTGTTGAAATGCCACTTGCAGTGAACAAAAGTGCTCCCGCATTCTTCAAACAAAACAAAAAATCGATTGAAGAACTTTTGGAGCAGACAACCCTTTCCCTTTAGGATCGCCTTTGAGTTACCGTGACGCCAAAACGACGCGTAGCTCTGATTGGCTTTGATTGAAAGGATTGTGGGTAGACCTCGATGCTAGAGATGCCTTGAAAATTACCCACACATATTTCAATCAGCCGCGGAGAGCTCGACGTTCTGACATCATCGCAACTTTAGTGCTAGAAGCAGACGAACTTGCGATTTGCATTGTTCGAATGCTCCCACTTGCTAAATTTTATGTACGAGTCCTGTCGTGGAGGTCGTTAATCACGTCATTTGCGGGCGAGGAATGTGCATACCATTCGGCTATCTTTTTTTGCAAATATATTTTCGAGCGCTACGCGCATTGTCCATTGACACGGCTGAGCCGGCGGCGAAGTTTAAACTCGTGGTAAAATAAGACAAACATTCCAGTAGCATTCTCTTTGACTCGAGCGCACACCCCGAAAATAGTTTACAGTTTTGACGTAGAACCACGTCTTTTTCTACGCTTGAAAGCGGGTGCAAGGTTGTAAGATCGATGTCACGAAAACTTTGTCACGGAAGTGACGTCACACAGATAACGCCGGCCTCCTAACGGCCTTTTAACGCGTAAGGCCCGATTGCTTGCGTGCCTGGGTTACGCTTCGGTGGCTGGAACGGCTACGGCATCCTGACGACGTCAGCCTCGCCGCAGTTTTGCTCATCCCGAGACAGACTACGTTCCCCTTGCGCCGGATGTGACTTGCTCTCCCAGCGCTTGCCAGAGCGGGCCGTTCATAACGAAAAATACAGCCATCAGGCTCAAAATACAAACGTGCGATTGTCATTTACGGATATTGTGGATCATATTCAACCTATTTCTGAACACGACAGTTATATTTCGAATTTCGTTGAAGTATCCCTTTAAATAACCTTGGTATGTGTGATATTATACAAGTGACAGAACGAGCGTGATATCAGCGCAAAGAAACGAATGAGCATCATAAATTTCAGACATGCGTTCCTGCTAAGAATTTAAAAATATTCTTACTAAGGCTGGGCAATTGATCGATTAACCTTCCGATTAATCGATTAAGGCTTTAATCGCGATCAAATGTTTTAACCGGTTAATCGGTTTTTTAATCGGTACTCAATAGAAGTCCGTTCCCAGCCAGGTGCTATCAGCAAGGTTCAAGTCTCGCGCTCGAAAAGCGTCACGTGTTCGAGGATATACATTACACTTCTGCCGAGGCCAGACGAACAAGCCAGGCCCGCAACTAATCCCCGCGCGACCGCGAAACTTCACGTGATGAGGATATATTACACGTCCTGCCCAGGCAAGACAAACAAGCAGACAAACAAGCAGGGAAGCTAACAACGCCATGGTTACTTGTCCCAGTGTTCGGCATGTAAAAATGGACGAGTTCACGAGTATGAAAGTCAATCACGCTGGAAAGTTCAGGCTTAAAGTAAACTCCAGCGGTGAAGTTTTTCCCTCGAAGGAAGTGCACTGCATCATCTGCAAAAAGCCGTTTTCATACAGTGGAAGCGTAAGTTCGGTCCATTATCGCCTACGAGCGAAGCACCCATGTCGCTGCGGCAAGGACCATCCGCCAAAACGCAGACAACAATCAACGCCCTCTCATCGAGGTTCCTTTCTCCGAAAAAAAAGAAGAAAGCATCGCACGAGTTCTGACCTCTTATCTTACAGTCGGAGAACGGGGACAAACTCCTTTGTCTTCGGAGCTGGAGCATAAATATGCAAGTCTTTGAATCGTTGAACTATATGTATCCTCAATTCTAAATGTCTTTTGCGCCGTGTAACAGAGAGTAAAATACGTCTTCAAAGGCAAGACGAGTTGCTGCATTCTTTTAATATATTAATGGCAGTTTGATACTTTAGACCCATGTTACGGATAAAAAAACAGAAGCATGATGACCAAAAAAACGCGTTTTTCGTTTAAGGCTCGTCAAATTATGAGGCGCTGGAGAAATGCATCCTTCTGCGTTAAGTCCTTATTTCGAACTGTTTTTGTTCGCCTTCCGCCCATTGAAAAGCATGCGGGAAGAGCCTTAGAACGCACCTGGTATCGCTGCGCCGCAGCCTTCTTCCGCAACATAAAGTTCGTCTGCTTTCCTCGCCGTCACCATGGCAACGAACGCCGAATGAATAGAAGCACGCACGGTACCGCCGCGTGAAGCCCGCAACAGCTGACGCCATTTTACTAACGCCGTCTGCTAGCCAAAGCCGAACGCGGTGTGTCAGATCAACCGCCTCCGCCGGTGCGCCGCTAGCGAAGACGACGAAGCTGAGACACGCCGACGGCAA